GATGGCACGCCAAGTGAAGATCCCCCAGGAAGCGGAAGAGAGCCAGGGACCTTCCTCCAGACCCAGAAGAGAGAGAGCCTTCCCCTGGAGCTCACGCTCGGAATTTGAACGTCTCGCCTCCTAAATGATGAGGAAACAGATTTCTGTTTGTCAGGCCATCCCCTTGTGGTATTTCTGCTGGGGCGGTAATTAGTAATGAACACAGGGGTCTCCGGTTTTCCAGGCTTCATGCTCGTGTGACTTTTGTAAACAAGGGAAGATGAAGAATGTGTGACTGCAGACGTGGTGTGACTTCCCAGGATCACAGAGCCTGGGAAATGGCAGAGTTGGTATTAACCCCATGACACTGAAATTCCTTGTGGTGAGACTGTGTGAGGAAAGCCAACCAACCGACAAGACGATAACATAATTACGTGCACAGGCTCGCTGTCCAGGCTGGGAGAGAGGACCAGCGTCAGCGTCCTGAACTATGCTGGGCTTGCAAAGCTGACTTCTTTATGGAAGTTTTGACTTTACCAGTGCATTTCCTCCAGTCCTTCCTCTTTGTAATTTGATGTTTGAGAATATTGTCATTTATTTTCATGTCATCTTTTCAGAGAGGCAGTCACTGTGTCCACAGTCGGTTGTGGGAGACAGCCTGGAGCGCCCCTTTCCTAGAGCCCTGCTGCCCAACTTTGTAGTCAGTGTTTTCCTCCCAAACCTCATCACGTCGGTCATGTGCTGGTCATCACAGTCCAGCCTTGGATTTGGTCTTCCCGTTCTAAGGGCTGTCCACCAACTATAAGTTCTTTCTGGTGGTATTTGTGAGAATTAATCATTTGAGTTAACCTTTTGAAAATTAAAGTGTGTGGCCAAACTAGCCATATTTATCCTATTAATCATGAGTTGAGAAAATGAATTTTAATTGAAACTCATCTATTTTTTTAAGATTAACTCGTTATGGTGAAATTGTGTACTTTTTTAAAAATGAAGACTCTCAAAAACAAAACAAAACACCAAAACAACAACCCCCCAAACGAGGACACCCCAGATTCCTTGCCTTGGTATCAGCTGCATGCAGCAGGTGTTAATCTAAACATTGGAGGAAAAAGTAGGTTTCGTCTTGATGAGCTGTGAGCTGGTTGTTGGCATCATTAGATCCTCTCAGCAGATGCCGACTCCTAGCAGCCCTGTGAATGGGTCAGAACCTTGGCCTGCCCCCTCCGCCCTGGTAACCCCGCCGTGCTCAGCCCTGGGGCAGCCGCTGTGTCCGTGGAGGGGCTTTCCTCCCCTCAGGCCTTCCCCAGCATGATGCCATTTTTCAGGGACTCCTGAAAACATGACTCAAGAATGTGAGACAAAGTCTCACCATTCACGTTGCCTGGAAGGAGCACGTCGGTTGCACTTTGTCCACGTCAGATTTCTCTGCTCTTCCAGCACACTTTGTCAACATCTCATTTCAGAGGCATCAGTTCTTTGGTGTTCCTGTTCATTGTCCAACTTTCACGAGTGGACAAAACACTGGAACAATGGGTCAGGCACACCTTAGTCCTTAAATTGGCATCTTTGCTCTTTCGCATTTTAAAGAGCTCTTTGACAACCTGTTTGCTCAACACATCATGTCTTTTGATTTCTTGACTGCTGTTGCCATGGGTATTGTTAGTCAATCCAAGTAAAATATATTATTTGACAATGTTTCTGGTTTTTAAAAAGAGCTAAATGTTACTTTAAATATTTCTTAGTTTCCTCAGTCTCTCAGTTGTTTTTTATGCATCTGAAAGTCGTACAGTGACTAAAGACGGCAGAAGAAGGCTTGATGCCTCTGAGTTGTGCTGTTGGAGAAAAGTGCTTCCAGAAGAACAAACAAGGCTATTTTGGAGAAAGTGAGACCAGTGTGTTCCCTAGGGGCAACGAGGGTGAGACTTCGTCTCACATACTCTGGGCATGTTGTTGTCGGGGGTCTTTGAGTCGAATATGACCTTATGAATAACAGATCTGAACCCTGTTCTGTCCTGTGCCATCCTCACACTTCCTGACACACTAGAGCCCGTTGTGGCAGGCACTATGCCAGTCCACCTGGTTGAGGGTCTTCCTTTCTTTCACCTGCCCTCTGCCTTTCTGAGCATCATATCCCTCTCTAAGGAATAGCCTCTCCTAACAAGAAGCCCAAAGTATCTGAGACGGAGCTTTATCATATTTGCCTCCAAGGAGCACCCTGGCTGTTCCTTCTCCAAGACACATCTGTTTATTCTCTTGGAAGTCCATGGGATGTTCGGTGCCCTTCTCCAACATCACAGCTCAAAGGCATCAATAATAATTCTGTCCTCCTTATTCATTGTCCAGCTCTCAGATGCATAGTGAGTGATCAGAAAGACCATGGTCTGAATCAGATGCATTGGGTATGTTGTTAGGAGGGGTCAGTTCTCGGAGAAGGACATCTTGCTTGGAAAGGTGGAGGGTCCGAGAAAGAGGAAGACCGTCAGTGAGAGGAATTGACACAGTGACTGTAACAATGGGCTCAGTTATATCAGATGATGAGGACGGCATAGGATAGGCAGGTTTCATTCGTTGTTCATGAGGTTGTTTGGGGTCACAATTGACTAGATGACACTTAACAGTAACAACCATTGTTGTTGGCCACCGTGAAGGTTAGAAGTTTATAAATGACACCATTGAAGAATGAAGCTCCGATCGTCGGTGCTCTGATGGCCGAAGCTGCGCAGTCATTCTAACTCAGCGGCCCTCCATCACACTGAGTGATTCCTCGGGCTGTAAATCTGTGTAAGAGGAGACCACCTGTCTTTCTCCTTTAGAGTTGCTGGTGTATCCGAACCATCAGCTTTCCACTTTGTAACCCAACACATTAATCATTATGCCATCAATACTCTTTGTGTTTGGGGTGGAGTGTTAAAAAACCAACAAAAAACTTACTTGCTCTGAAAAGAGGGCCAGATTCCCTAGTGCTTTAAATTGTTGTTGCGATCAAGTGCCCCTGAGGCGTAACTCACTCTTTTCTGACCCCCCAGCAGGTTTTCAGTGGCTGTAAATGACACAGGAGGAGATCGCCCATCTTTCTCGTGAAGCAGCTGGGGTAATTGAACCACCTCCCTTTGGTTTGGCAGCACAACTCTTTGTGACTCAGCCACCAGAGCTCCCTTTAAATTAGGCTTAGCTGCTTCTCATGGGGTAGGTGTGTTGGAGACAATAAGATTGGCACGAGATAGAGCAGTGTTTAGGGCTGTTGTATATAGGGTCGCTATGAGTCGCAGGCAACTCGATGGCACCGCACCTCACAACAACTTCTCTTAGAGAAGGGGCAGCCAGAGTGCTCTTTGGAGGCAAAGACGATAGAGCTTCGTCCCACATACTTGGATATATTGCTAGGGGAGGTCAAAATATGAAAAAAAACCAACCCACACACAGCAAAACCACACCAAAAACAACCACCCCCCCAAAAAAAATTTGCTCTGTCACTGTTGACATGGCATCAGGAGGTGGTGGAGTGAGTTGGCCGGCAGTGTAGTCGGCGAGATCTATCAGGAGAGACCTAATTGAGCGTTGGAACGAGTTTGATTTTGAGGAGTTTGGCCGAGATGATGGTGTTGACCGCTCAGGGCGACCCTTGCGGCTGATCACCCTCCATGTGGACAGCCCGAGTGGCTTAGCAGGGTGCTCTGGGGCCTGGGAGGCCGTCAGTGCTTCGGGTCTGAGGGCTGGAGAGGCCAGATAAGGTGCCAGGCAGCCGGTGCTGTCGATTGGAGCACAGCCACAATTTCAGATGGGAAAGCTAGCTTCTATCTTGGGACCGCTATTTTCAGTTTAACTTAAATAGGAAAACAACAGCAGGTCAGATTATTTTGGGGAAAGAAATATTTGGCCATAAGTAACAGGGTTATCTAGAACAAGGGCTGCATTTTTCCTTTATTTACATAACAGTCACCACTCTGCTTGTGTAATACTGGTTTTTGTTTGAGGAGTCTCTCCCTGGCGTGCGTGTGTGTGTGTGTGTGTGTGTGTGTGTGTGTGTGTACTATTTATAAACTAGTTTGTTGCCCTCAGGTCAGTTCCAACTTGTAATGACCCTGCGTGACAGAAGGGCTGGCCTGGGCCATTGCGGGGCTGGCCTCCGGTTGTTGCTGGGTTGAGTCACTATGTCCGTCCACCTCTGCCCTCACCGTAACCCCTGAGGACTCTGCAGACCAGCTAGGTTTTACGCAGCACATTTCAGCTCAGCAGACAAGAGGAGGGGCAGGGAGAGTGGGGAGGCGGGCTTGGCAAGGCCATCCCTTACTTAGGCTTTGTGGCCCTGTGAACCTCCGCTCGGAAGAACCGGGAGTCACAGTCGATCTTCACCCAGTCAGCGGCCGGCTGGGGGATTTCTGTCTACCAGGAGCCCCTTGAGGAGTGGGTGTGTGTGTCAGTGCCCCCAGGCCTGACCTGCCTGGTTTGTGGGGTGTCTGAGCGCCCCGGCTCTGTCCCAGGTGTGGCTGTCTCCCGGTCCTACCTTGCCTGATATATTTAAACTCAAACCCAAAGCTCAAACCCAGCCTGGGGCCCTCCTGTCATCCATTGCACGTGGCTGTGGGCCCTTTGCTGGCCACTCAGGGACGCTGAGAGGCATGGTGTGCCCCCGATGGGTCCGTGTTTGGGATCTGTGTTGAGATCTGTTGGAAGCTGTGGGTTTAAGTTTTGTTTCACTAAAATCCTGACTAGCATGTGGGAGAGGAACACATAGTTTGTACTGCTTCCCTTGTGCATCTCCAGGCTGACTGCCATTGTCCCCTGCTGCCCAGGGGGAGGCCTGGCCTGCGTGCACACCCCGCCTATACGTGTCACCTGCCTCCCCACCACTGGGGCCCCGGGAGCCTGGCTTTTCCCCTGAGAAGCACCTGCTCGTTGTAGCAAATGCCTTTTCTTCAGGAGTGTGGGGTGCTGGCGAGGGCCTGGGTCTCCTGGGGAAGTGGGGAGACGATGGCCCAGCCCTGACCCACACTCACTCACACCATCCTTTCCACCCCCAGGCATCAAGGACTACTCCAACTGGCCCACCATCCCCCAGGTGTTCCTCAACGGCGAGTTCGTGGGCGGCTGTGACATCCTCCTGCAGATGCACCAGAACGGGGACCTGGTGGAGGAGCTGAAGAAGCTGGGCATCCGCTCCATGATGCTCGATGAGAAGCAGGGCCAGGACTCCAAGTGAGGGCACAGGCCCCACGCGCCGCCGGCCCCGGGAGGACCCGGGCCGGACCACTGCCCGCCGAGCCTTAGCGACCGGGCGCCAGGGGCAGACGCAGCGGCTCGCACCGTCCAGAGGCGTGAGCAGTGGGCGCGGGGCGTCCCCCTGTGAACTCGATTATTGATTGTAACCACTGCACTGTCATGATACGATGTTTCCTTCTGATAGAGCCCCGAGCAGGACCTGTTGTGTTGTCACTGTGCTCTCAGTGTGGAGCTTCAGAGTCCTCGTTCGTGACCCTCGGCCCCAAATCATGTAACCTGGTCTCTTCCAGAAATGATGGACACGCGAAAACATGCCACAATTGGGGTGGTTTTTAGAATAAACTGTCAGCATAGAGATCTGTGAGCGAGCTGTGCTTTCTGTGAGGGCTCAGGGCCTGCGAGCTTTGCTCTTTGGAATGAAGAGTGGGCCTCCCACTCTTCTAGTACATTTGCTACAGACGTGGCTGCCAGACTCTGTGCGCTTCTCTGGGGGAAACTGGCTGGTCCCAGTCCCCGTGGAGGTGGAGGTGGGGGCCTGGCCAGCACTGGAGGGAGGGGAGTGGAAGAGGGGTCCCATCACACCTCACCTGTCAGAGGCCTTGTGGGGTGCAGATCGTCAATGCTCTCAGCTGCTGACTGCAAAGTTAGAGGTTCAGGTCCACCCAGAGGACCTTGGGAGGAAGATCTGGCCTCTGCTGCTGAACAGCCAACTGAAAGTACCACGGAGCTGTGACTGTCACCCCCACTCAAAGAGCGGTGCGTGCTGCCACACACAATCACACACCCTCCACAGAGCTGTGTACTGTCACAAACTCACACACCCCACAGAGCTGTGTCTGTCACACACAAACCCCCTCCACACACACACAGGGCTGTGTACTGTCACACACATACCACCCCTCCCCCCCAGAGCAGCTTTCTGTGACACACCCCCTTCACCATGAATTGTCCTCCCTTCTGCAGCAGTGGCTTTATCTGTCCTGCGTGTGGCTAAGCCTGTGTTGGGCCGGGCTGCTGCAGTCATATGAGGAGAAATCATTAGCTGCCTGTTGAAGTATGAGCTTCAGTTCTGGAAATGGGATCATCCTAACAAGACAAGGGCTGAATTCCCAGAAGGCTGTGCGGTGGACAGTCTCTCAAGGTGTCTCTCTCTAGACAGAGGGGCTGGAGAGGAACCTTCTGGGGCTTCCTGGGGCAGAACGTCGACGAGGCCCCAGCTGTGTCTCTGGCCCCCTTCAGGGGTGAAGTGACAGCCATTAGAATGGATGACTTTGGAGAGACAGATGGGGAAGAGGATGCATTTGTTCACGAAAAGAACAGGTGTGGCTAGGAGGACAGGAGGGCTCTCTCCCCAGGACCCTTTCTGATGGGGACCCTTTCTAGCAGTGCCCTCTGGGTAGCGGGTTCTACTGGGCTTCCCATGAGAAATCCAGAAAGGAGTCACTTTTGAGGTGAGGATTGAAGCTGGCTGGGCCCTGCCCCTGCTCTGCGGGCTCATCCTGGTTCACTGTCCTGCTCTCCCCCTCCCCAGAGGTTTTGGGTTCTCAAAAGAAGGGAGAGGGGGAGGGTTGTAGCTCACCCCAGTGTCACCGAGAACCCTCAGATTAGCAATTAGAAACTGTCCCTCGCTAATCACAGACCTCCAGGTTGAAAGCACACGGAGAGTGGATTATTCTAAGTGGTTCTTACTCCGTTAACTGTGTGTTGCAGCCCACAGGGCCTGACTTCAGCTCAGCACTTGTGGAGACTCGGGTTCGAACCTCTCCATCAGAACCATCTCTGGAGATGAGCAATGAGGGCTTCCGGGGGAGGGCAGAGGACTCAAGGGCCCACAGCCCATGTGGCCGCCCAGCTGAGGCTGTGACCTTGCCCTTGTAGAACAAACACCAGGCCCGAGTCCGACCGAGCCCCCTTCCATGGCAAATGAGGGTGCTTTTCCGTACACCTGTTGCTTCAGACTTTCCCTTTGCTCTGCCTGGATACCTCTAGGCCTCATTTGTGGAATGAAATGGTGAGTGATTTCTTAGCTGGCGGACAGCGCCAGAACCCTCCCCAGAAAGTGAGTAGAGTGAGAGGCTGGCTGGCAGGTGAGTACTCCGGCTCCTCCGAGGTGCTGAATCACACAGAGATCCTATCAAAGTCATTAGACGACCTAAAACATTTCAGGAACCTGCTTCCTGCGAGGCCCACAGAAGTGCAAACACGCTTTTCAAAAGTTCATTAATCATCTTCCCCTGTTAGACTTCACACGTCTTTGCAAAGTGGAACACTGAAGATGTTATCTAGTGGAAGTCAGGATGGTTTTGACATTGTGTATAATTCAAGTTCAGACTGGTAATTAGAGCAGGGACATCCAACTTCCTTGTGCAAACAGCAATATCAGACACGTTAACCCAAGGATTTATCACGGTTTCCGGAGTCATTCCCACGGCCCCTGTCATTGTGATTTTCCTTTGTTACTGGGCTGCCCTCCCAGCTTCAAAGTGCTGAGGAAGAGGCCTTTTAGAAATGAGGAAAGTCATTTTAGATAATGAAAAGAAATTTAGAAAATATGTTGATTTTATTTGCCCTCTTTAATTTACTTAAATAATTTGCGAATTCATGCTTCCCTGTGAAGTCACAGCAGCCAGGTTGTGGGGGAATTCTTATTAAATTGATCTTAATGGTTTACTTAGCTATTTAGGAATAAGCTACCTTAAAAGTTGCACTGTCATTTGTATCAAGGGGGCATTAACAGTAAGGAAACGGAGGAGAGATTTGCCTGGGCAAGTCTAATTGAAGTAAATTCAAATTGGGTGAGAAGGCGCTTGTGTGTCCAAGAGGAACTGGCATGGGAGAAATACTTATTGGTGGATATTGTTGTTGTCAATTGCCTTCGACTCAAGCCTGACTCATAACGACCCTATGAACAAAAGGCCTGAAGCCCCTCTACAACTATCTTCATTTATCAAAGTTCATAGAGTTTCTGGAGGCATGTTATTTAGGAAGTGGATGCCACCCCTGCTTCCAGACTTGTCATAGTGTGTTATTGTTGTTATGTGCCCCTGAGTCGCCTGCAATGTATAGTGACCCTATGTACAGCAACTCGGAACCCTTCCCAGTCCTGAGTCATTCTCACTAACTCCTCATTGCCCCAGTTACTGTATCAATCCATCTCATTTGGAGTCTCCCTCTCCTGCGCTGTCTATCCACCCTTCTGAACATGATGTCTTTCTCCAAGAACTGATCTCTCCTGGCCATGTGCCCAAAGTAAGTGAGGCAGAACTTCAAAATCCTAGCCTCCAAGGAGAGACTTGGTTTCACCCTCTCCAAGACAGACCTGATTGTTTTCTTGGCAGTCCATGGTACATTCAAGACTCTTCTCCAGCACCACAACTTGAAGGCATCTATTCTTCTGTCTACCTCAGTCATTCCAACTCTCTGAAGCAGAATAAGTCATTGTGAAGACCATGGCCTGGATTAGGCACAACTTTGTATCTAGATTTGTCAGTGGATATTCCCACACAAAGATGTTGATGTATGTTGTTTGGTGCCATCGAGTCAGGTATGATCATGGTAACCCTAATCAACAATCTAAACCCAGTTCTATGTTGCACCCGCCTCACACTTCCTGACACACAAGAGCCCATTGCAGTTCTACAATCACTGCATCAGTCCACTTGGTTGAGGGTCTCAATCAAAAGAACAAAAAATTCCATTAAGGAATGGTTTAAGAAAAGTACAAAATAGCTTTAAGTGGTATTCCGGGGCCATCTAACAGCTGCTTTGAGGGGAGGTTACACCCCAGGGCCAGCTGATAGTGACTTGAGGGAGGGTAGTGAGAGGAGGAGGTTGAAAGCTGGCTGGACCCAGGTGGCAGAGATTCAGATGACTGAGGTGGACCCCAGTGGGTGGCACTGGGTCATTTCCCAGAGGAACCTCACTTTCACTTCATCTTGAAGCCAGGGAGGGTTTTTACAGCCGGGAACAGAAATGGAGACAGTTCCCTGCTGTTGCTCTGTGAGCTGAGTGGAGTTCAGCTGAGAGCCTGCAGTTGCCTTCATGCTGAGTCCAAGGCATATTTCAGAAAGTGCACCTGCTTGCAGAGATCTTTTTCTGACTCAGCTAAGAACAGCCTTCCTCAGACACCTCTCTGCAATCCCCACTCCTCCCAGGGAGGGCTGCCCTGACCCCAGCAAGCCTCCCTGACCACTCAAGACCAAGTTCACAGGGAGTGGGGTTATTTCACCAGATAATGGACCACAGGAAGCACCTGTTCCAATGTGGAGAGTTCCAGAGTCTCAAAGGCATGTGCTTCAAATTCACCAGCTGCTCCGTGAAGAAAGATGGGCAGTCTCCTTCCACTGGATTTACTGCCCCTGAAAACAGCTAGAGCGTCAGTTGTGGGTCAGTTCTGAGTCAACATCACACAACAACAACAACAACAACAATAACAAATCTTTATGGGAGGAGATTGCTCATCTTTCTTCCATGGAGTGCCTGGTAGATTTGAATTGTCAACCTCACATTTAGCTGTCTGACATTTCACACTGAAATTGCTGCCTTGGAAACCCCATGGGACAGTTCTACTCTGTTCTATGGGGTTGTTAAGAGTCAGAATTGAAGGCTGTGGGTTTAGCTGCCCTGAGCTGCTGACTTTAATAATCCCGAAGTCTCACAGATGAACTGGCCGTCCCCGGGAGTCCATGCTGAGCCCAGAGCATGGGGCGGAATTGCCAGACTGCTCCCTCCTACGCTGACCCAGGTAGGGTACACCTTGCACATCCCACCTCCGCCCTGAGCCAAGGAAGACGGGCTAACCCAGGTGTGAAATCTGAAGAACATCAGATGTTCAATATCTGTACAATTGTATCAGAGTGAGTCCTGAGAACCCATCCTTCTGTTTCTTGTTTGATTTTGTTCTGGCTTTCTTAATAAAATCTCCTTGGATGATTCCTGGGAGAGCAGAGCTCCTGGTGACACAGGTGAGGGTGGGGACAG